ATAAACATGAACCACCTTTAGTTGGGTCAGCTGCTAATAGATAGCTATGATTTTTTTTTCTAATTTCTCCTTAAATAACAAATGTCTTCAAAACGTGATCTGTACTCTCTAGCACCGTGTTGTCTTCACTCATTTCTGTCCATGATTTCCCTAATTTCCTATGGCAGATCTTCTGGCTCTAGAAGCAGTTTTAGTAAAACAGCTTTCTTACAGTCAACCTCTTTGGTATTCTAACCGAAACTTTTGTCTCAAGTGTAAGTTCCCCTGATCTTCTAAACTTGTGTGCTGAGACTTTTCTTATGAAGTCTCCCAAACCCAGCTGTTCACTTCTCCTTCTTTTGCTCTTCCTGCTCTATTTTCTCCTGTTCTGATTCTTCGTTCACTGCAGTAGGCACCTTTGGGGAATCTTGCTCAGCCCAGGCCCCAGACTTCAAGAATGACCTGTCTGAGCCTCTCCTATTCTCTCTTTCTCGCCCAGTGGTTGAAAGCATTCGTGAAGGGCCATGTACAATGGGGTGGAGGGTGAAGAGCTACAGAGCAAAAGAATCATAAAGCACATGGGCAGAGGGATGACAAGTCCAGAGGACACATGACCCTGGAGAGAGGAGGAGATTCGTGCCAATGGCACCCCAGTTCTGGTCCTTTCAGAGGGCTAGCTGTGCTTCTTACCACGAAATATTCTTGTTTCCTCCCAATAAACCTCTCCCTTTGGGCTTAAGTTTGTTGAAGAGGCTTCTATTTCTTGCATTCCCTTAATGTGAGGTGACACTCCTGAGCCTAAATCCGTGCCTCTAAATATGAAGTTTCTTCGTTTTCCAAAGGAATTGTCTAAAGGAAGAGGCAATTTAATGAAGTTAAGAGTGTGAGCACTGGGTTCAGATTGCCTAATTAGCTTGAGATCTCAGGACCTCTCTGCCTCAGTTTTCCCATCTGTAAAATAGGAATAATAAAAGTATCTACCTTATAGGGGTTTGTGAGAATTGAAGAGTTGATGCATATAAAGCTCTTAGAATAGCACTTGACACATTGTAAACGTGTAGTAAATATTGTTATTACTGTTATTTATAGCAACACATTCCTACCTGGCTTTCTGCAAGAACTTTAACATGTCCATTCCAGGACTTCCCAGCTTCCTCCCAAAGAGAACACAGCTACCTAACTTCCGGGTCCTGTCATTGGCTCCTCCATTCAATCCAGCACTCCTGAAATTTGACTTCATGTCTGTTTGACTTTGGGACCTCGGTTTATTCCATTAGACTAGCAGTTCCCAAATTGGACTGCCTCTCAGATACCAAAGATTTTGAATCAGAATCTTCCAAATTAGGACTTGGACATCTGTATTTAAAACAAAATAAAACAAAAAACTCCTCAGTGAATTCTGATGGACCTGACCATTGGATCAGAGTTTGGGGAACCACTGTGGATTACACTACTTTTATCCTCACTGACTTTATCTGTAAAGTCCGTGTGGTAAATACCTCTTTCATAGAATTGCTAACCTAGAATGTGTGCAGGTACCATGCCAAGGGCTTTCTATCCTTGTCTCATTTAACTCTCACCACAATCTTGTGAAGTGCACACTAGATTAACGCCAATTACAGATGAGGAAACTGTAGTTTTGCTTGGTAAAAGTCATTCAGCTAGCAAGTGTGGAGAGTGAGCTTATCAGCTGCTGGAGTGAATGAGAATAGTATATTAGATAATGTATTTCAAACATCTGATACACAGTAGGTGCTCAATAAATGTTCCCTTTCCCTTCCTTTTATCTATGTGATTTTATTCATGCCCAGTGAATTTTAGATTGAGGACAATACTTTGACCTTAACAGTGCCCAGAGAATTAAGAACCAGGATTCTAGAAGGTAGAAAATAAAAGGGAAGTGAGTACCAGTGGAAAACGGAGGTTGCTTGGGATCTTCAACAGGGAGAAACACAAGTATAATTACTTATGGAAGAACAGGCTCACATGAGGAGGAACAGTAGCTTGGTCACTGAGGGTAGGAAAAGTCAGGGTGATGAACTTTATTTAAAAGAGGAGAACCAAGGTATGAAGGTAAAACCACATCATCTCAGAGAGACAGGGTCCTAAAAGAACACCTATTCCAGGCCCCTTCCCACCACATGGTCATCCAATTCTTTTTTTTTTTCCATTTTATTTATTTATTTATTTATTTATTTATTTATTTATTTGAGAGAAAGAGAGAGTGAGAGAGCACACAAGCAGGGGGTGGGGAAAGGGAAAAGCAGGCTCTTTGCTAAGCAGGGAGCCCAAGGCAGCGCTCGATCCCAGGACCCCAGGACCATGACCTGAGCTGAAGGCAGACACTTAACTGACAGAGCCACCCAGGCACCCCTGGTCATCCAATTCTTATGTTGACACTTTCTGTGACAGGAAATTCAACTTATCAGGGCAGAGGAGGTTCTAGTTGTTAGAAAACTCTTCATATTGTTTCATTCTAGAGCTTCTACCTGCAGGTCCCCCTTCCGCCCTTTAGGGCCCTGAAGAACGAGTCTAATTTCTCTTCTATTTGACAGCCCTTCAAATATATGAAGACAGTTACCTTGTACCTCCTGGGGCAAAACCTTCTGCTTCCTTTAATCTTTCCTCATATGATGTAGTTCCCAGGCTCTTGACATCCTGGTCCCTCTCCTTGTGCATGTGTTTACTTTTCCTTTGCCAAGCCTTAACTGGAGACAATACTCTATGTGTGTAATGACCAACGCTGGGTGGTACTGTAACATCCAACTTGCTTTATAGGTCAGACTTTTATCAATGCAGCCTAAGACAGCATTCATTTATTTGGGCAGCCATACTGAGGACTCAGATTGAGTTGTCTGTTACCTGAGACCCTTTAGGTTTGCTCTCATATGCATCTGTTAAGATACCTCTGTGTTTCAGCAGTTAGTTTCCCAGGGTGGGACCTCCATATTTATCCCTGTAAGAGCTAGCCCACTGCTCCCACATTGCATTTGGCTTATGTTATATAATGGTATCTCTTCCCCTCCTGGTTTTGTGTCATCCTGAACGGTGATGCAAATCCTCTGGGCTTTCATTCAGAGCACTGATAAAAGTCCTGAAGTCGAAGCCCTGGAGAGAGCCTTCTATCATTCGGATGGTAACTGGCATGGTATGAAGGTTTTGAAGTCAAATAAACCTGGTTTGAATTATGGCTCTGCCACCTATTGGGTGACATTGGACTAGCTGGTTGAAGTTTTGAGTTTCAGTTTCTTCAACTGTAACATGGTGTTGTGAGGATTAAGGGAGAAGATTCAGGGAAAGCATTTAGCTCATAATTGATGAAGCACAAATATTGATTCCCCTCTACCCTTTCTTCAGGCCCACAGAGCTTCATTAATCAGGCATCTATAGGTTATGGTTACTTAACCAGTTATTGGTCCAATTAATTATACTAGAATCCAGGCCTAGATTTCTTCATCTTGTCCACAATATCTCGTGAAGTGCATTGCTATAATGCCACTCACATAGAGTGGTTTCCTTATGAAATCAGGGCAGGGACAAAGTAAACAGCAATGATTCCACGGGCATATAAATTTAGGAAAAATAGTAAGCTACCAATGAAGTTGGTCGACCTTGAGAACAGTCAGTATTCAGGCCACAAGTGCATATTGGGCAACCACGCTGTGCCTGGCAATGAGCTGTGGACAGCAAGGGATTTACCACGGTTAAAATGCAGTGTCTGTGTTCAAGAAAAGAGAGGAGAATTCTAGAATCTTAGGGGCTAGTCTGGGTCACAGAATTGAGTGAAGAGATTTCATTCCATTTGTTCATGTATCCAATCAACAAACACTTATCAAGCACTTGTTAGGTGTCAGGCTCCTGCCCCCACCCCTCCGTCTCACTCCCATTAGGCGCTTAAGGGGAGCGGGGTGAGTATGAGAAGAAAGAAGACCCCGCCCTCGCCCTCCTCTTCAGCGAGGTTGACATCTAGAAGGTTAAGAGATCTTTGTGCTAAAGGCCCTCTGCTAAGTGCTTGAGACACAAAAATAAGACAGATTCACTGTCTTCTCAGTACCTAAGATGTGCTCTGTCATGAAATATTTATTTTTTGTAATCTTTGTTTCCTTCCGTCTCACTCCCTGGGCAGCTTTTCGCGGCAGAGACCGTGGCCGCCGGGGACAGTGTCTGCCACCCAGTCGGTGGTCAAAACCCGGGCGCTAGAAGGAAATGGCAATGGAATCGCCGCAGGCTTGAGTTTTGTCTTTTCAACAGCGAGAATGACAGCTGCAACGGGACGCTTGGAGGTCAAGACGAACGAAAGGAACGTAAGAAACTTGGATGGGGAAGCCTTCTAGAAATACTAAGTATTCGTTCTCCCGTTTGGACTTTGGCAAGCCAGGCTGTTTTAGGAAGGGTCTGGCACTCTGTGTTCCTAAAATTGGTTTCCTAGATGGAGTTGGAGGGAGGCGAGTGAGGAAACGCTGCTTTTTGTCAGGGTGCCCGAGGGAAGAAGGGGAAGGAGGAGGGGTGAGACCGATGAGCCAGAAGCAAGCCAGGGACCCGGAGAAGAGGGACATCCCAGGCGACTGCAAGGAGTGCGGCGTCTGCACCCGCAGTGGCCACCGCGAGCGGGAGACCTGAGGCGAAGGGAGAGGGCAGGGGCGAGGAAATCCAGGGAAAGCGCGCCGATTGGTCCTCTCCTCGGGGCGTGCGCTTCTGTGCGCCCAGCGATTGGTGGCGAGAAAGTAGCAGGTAAACCGGCCCCCGCCGCCCCGCCATTGGTCAGCAGCCTCTCTAGCTGCTACATCACTGGCCAGAGGGTCGCCGAGCCGCGCGCGGATTGGCCGGGGACGACCGCCGAGACCGGCTCCCTTCGGGCGCTCGGATTGGCTGGTGGAAAGAGGCAGGTATCCGGGCTCTGGGGCTCCTCCATTGGTGGGCGGGAAAGGGGGGTTGGGCACAGCGATTGGTGGGCGGGGGGCCGGGCCTGGGCCGGCGGGGAGCGGATTGGTCGGAAAGTAGGTTAGTGGTGCGACATTTAGGGAAGGCAGAAAGTAGGTCAGGGACGGAGGTGCCTGTTTACCCGCGCCGGACTCACCGCCGCCGCCGCCGCGGGATCCGAGTGGGGGCGCGGACGCGGGCGCTCCCGCGAGCCACGGTGAGTGTCGGGCTTCCCGCGGCTGGCGGCGCGGCCCGGGGCACCCCGTCGGGGGCCGTTAGCACCCTGGCAGGCGCGGCGCCCCTGCCGCCGCCCGGGGCGCAGCCCGGCCGCCGGGGAACCCTGCCCGACGTGCCCGCTGCCGGCCTTAAAGGGCCCGTGCCCGCTCCCTGCCCCCACCCGAGCCGCGGGGAGGCTGCGCCCCTTAAAGGCGCCGCGCCCGGCCGCCCCCATCCTCTCTCGCGGGGGCTGGCGCTGCAGGGTAGGGCGGGCAGAGGTGCAGTAGGCGCCCTTAAAGGGACCGGGAAAGTGTCCCCGGGAGTACCCACCTCCCCTCCTCGGGCATCGCTACCTGACGGGGGGTGGGGGGAGGAAGCAGCCAGCTGCCTCTTAAAGGGACAGCTCCGCCCTTTGGGAGCAGTGATCCGGCTCAGGGCGAGTCCTAGGATGTATCCCTGGGAGCTGGGGGGAACCTCAAGAGGACCATTCTTGATGGCTGCACCCCAAGGGCGTTGGGCAGGCAATGCCTCTTCTGCCCTTCCTCCCCATCTCCTCCACTTCCCTTCGGGGAGCCTGCAGGGCTGGGAGGGGGCGGGAGGGCGTCTCCGTCCGGCTTGGGGAGTGCGAGTCGGCCAGCCCCTTCGACCCTGTTGCGGGGCCTTGGCGCTGCACCCGGGAATCCGGGGCCCGTAATGGGTCAGACCCCAGCTTGCGAACTTTCGTCCTGCCTGCGCCGTCTGGGTCCTCGGCCGCCCCGGGAGCATCCCCCGTGGGTCTTTGAGCAGGTGCCCGACGGCACGGGGATGTCGCCCGGCGTCCAGATGTGGGCCCGCCGCCCGCCCTAGAAGCCCCGGAACCCCGCGGAGGGTGCAGCAAGGCTGGCTCTAGCACCGGCTTTGACAGATGTCAGAAAAGAAAGGTTCCCGCTCGCGATTGCCGGGCGTTGACAGCCAAGAGAGCTCTCTTTTGCTCGGAGATAGAAGTGGAAGAGCAGAAATTAATGCCGACCTCGTGGGGCTTGAGTCAACGACCCCCGAGGGGTCTCGAGAAGCTGGCTGCGGAGCGCAGGCAGGTGTCGGAGGGTAGTCGCAGGGGAAGGAAGGGTTGCACTGGACATTGGCGTCGGTTGTCACTGTCGGTGCTGGCCGATGAGGGACCAGGCTGACACCCCTCGCCCCACATTCCCTATCCCCTTTTCCCTCCTCTGCTTCAGCCCCTTGGCCCCTTCCCGGTCCAATAGCGTTGTCTGGGCACTTTGGCGCTTGCTAGTCTCTTCTCCCTGCTCACAAGAGCTACTCCTCGGCATGGAATTATTAGCCAAGTTTTCTCACCCAGCTTCCAGAAATAAGATTCGGTATTTGTGAGGAAGCATTTCTTGAATGTACCTGTATTTCCAGAGTCTTCGTTTTTAAAAAAATCCATAAAAAAGCTGCCCATTAGATGCATCTCATTTCCCACAACGCTTGCTTGTCCTTCTGACATCTGCTGCTGTTCCCAGCTTTAATCTATTTTTATATGACAACTATTATTTTAATGCTTCTGGTCCCATTGATATCAGGATCTGTCAATTTGGGTTGGTGGAGTTTTTAATTAATGTACTGGTTGAATCATGAGCTTAAAATAGTCATTGCTGCTCCTGAGCAGTTTTGAATAATCTCATGCTCTTTGTGCTTGCAAGGGAAAGAAAAAAAGTCACTGCTGTTAAATTAAATTTCCATATCAATGAAACTCCAAAATATTTTTTAAAACACAAAATTGAATCTTTTGCTCCATGATCTGTTACTGAGTTCACTTTACTGATAAGTCTTTAAAACAGCTTCTTGAACCTATTTAGAAGGCTTTGAAATTGCCTGTATTATCTGATGCTGGAATCTGTGGAGGTATTTTGGTTTTGATGGTGGATGTAGCCAGTGAATAATAATAATAACTTAAACTATAGTTAAATTTGTGCCTTATTCCAACCCCTGAAGTTTAAAAATCGGGAGAGAGAAAGGAACAGGTGGTAGAAGAGCATTAGCCTGAGAGTTAGAACATGCTGGTTCTGGCCCAGACTTGGGTGTTCATGGCTGTGCCACCTGGGCGAGTCACTGAGCCTCTCTGGGTTCTGTTTGCCTCCGACGGAAAGAAAGGCAGTTGAGCTAGGTGATCTCAAAGGTTCTTTTTGCTCTAGAGTTCTCTGCATCTCTAAATATTTAATACATTTGAGTTCAGGTTGGTATTTACCTCCAGAACATCTGAGCCGAAGTCCTATTTTCATAGGAAACTTAAACAGTACAACAGATGGGGTTTTAAAGACTCCATTTCAAATGATTTATAAAATGATGACGACTCAGGAGTTTGCCTTCTGCAGAAGAGGTTTGCCTACCACACGAAGAAAAGGAAGTGGCCGTGTTTTCAGATTTTTCCTTCCACGCCAACCATCTTTGTGCAATTTATGTACTAAACAGTGAAGAGGCACTGTGGAAAGACTTGGTTATGTTAACAAAACTGCCTGAGAATCTATGGAAACTAAATATTTCATATCTTTCTTTGGTGTAAGAGTTGCTTTCCTTCTGTGAGCTTTCTTCCGGTGGTGACCACAGCATCAGCTCTGAGGGTGGTGATAAGAGAAAGTCAGTATCAGAGAAACAATTTCTGCCCCTTACCATGTTACAGTTACAGAGTGATTTTAGTTAGCATCATGGGAGATACTTGCAGGGAAGTAAAAAATCCTCTCTAGACCTTGAGGTTTAGTGAGGAACCCAGAAACACAGGCATGTCACCCTTCTGCAGTCTTTTCTCACCTCATTGCCACTTTGCCACTTTGTCACAACACCCGGACTTACCCCAAACACCCACCCTGGCTTTTCTCCTCTTTCTTTCTCAAAACAAGACCTGTTCGGACTTGAGCCCCCTCAGCATCTCTTCCTTCCTGCTCAGAATGTCCTGTCTTCTCCACCCTCCCACCCCCATGTCTCCTCCTCTTTTTCCAGTTCAGAAAAAGCAACTGGATCTGTCCTCTGTTTCTTTTCCTTGGACCTTCACTTTGGGCTGGAGCCTGGGACTCTGGTGGCAGGACCTGGGACTTGGGTTCTGATTAGACAAGTGCTTGATCCCTCTGACCACAGGCTCCTCATCTGTGGGGTCATGGCAGTGCCTGCCTCCCAGAGTCTGTGGGAGGATCCAGGGAGATGGTGCATGTGAAATGCCTGGCACACAGGAAGTCCTCCCTCAGGGCCTGCTACCACTCCCTCCCAGCGCTGCCAGGGTCCTGCCCCCTGAATATCCTCACCAACCCCTGAAAAGCCTTCATCTCGGTTTAGTAGAGGAAGGATGGAAGGGGAAAGACATAGCCCTTCTGTGGGCCTGCGATGGAGCAGGCAGCTTTCACCTGTCTGTACGTGGTACCCCTGAATCTGTATGTCTCTCTCTCCCCTCCCTGCCCCGCAGCCTCTCACAGGGCTGCGAACGTTCACCTCTTCAACTCTCTCATCTGCTCTGTCCCTAGCTCCCACCCTCTGGCTGCTCTCTCTACCACCCTTCTCTGTAGTTCGCAGAGATCTCCAAAAACTTTGTCTTGAATTCCAGGGGCCTGTCCTTAGTCCAGAATGGTTGTTCTTGGCCCCTGTGTTGCTGTTTCCCTACCTTTCTTTCCATCCTTCTTGAAATTGCCTCCTTCTTCAGCCTTTGGGTCACGATGCTCTCTTGGTTCTCTTCCTGCACACCCTAAAGGCAGGTTTTTGTCCTGGCCCAGTTTTCAGTCCTGATCTGTCTCTCCTTCTTCAGCTGCCAGTGGGTTCATCGTAGGCATTAATGGCAGCCTTGAGCCAGCATTCATGACCTTGGAGTCATAGGTTGCACACTGCTTGCAAGTACTGTCTCATTTCATCCTCGTAACACACTGGTGCCTGTGCCCCTTCACCGCCAGGCTGTCCTGAGACGCAGTTTGTTTGAGTGGTGACAAGTGCAGACTTTGGAGCAGATTGCACATCCCAACTGTTCCTTACCAACTTTATGATGTGTGGTCAAGTTGCTTTGCTCACTATGTCTTGGTATCCTCAATTATAAGACTGGGATCTCTGGAGTCCTTACCTCAGAGAGTTGTGGTGTAGATTAAATGAGTTAAAACTATTAAAAAATGCATGAAGCTATTCATGGCACATAATTCACATTCAGTGACTGTTAGCTCTTCGTACCTCTGCTCCTTCTCGCCTCTCCATATTCAGCCTGCCTGTCCATGTGCACGGGACTGTCTAGTCAAACTGAAAGGCTGTCTGTTGCACCTGCAAGGGACCAGCCCTTGATCCATTCCATGTTCCAACTTTCTCAGGTCAAAATCTTACTCTTCTCTAAGACCCAGATCAAATGCGTGGTCCTCCAGGAGCTATTTCTTCATTGTGTTTTTCTTCCTCCCCACACCTGGCAGCAGTGTCCCCCAGCCCTTGGTTTAGCTTGAATTCATAGCTACTGTTCCATCTATATTGTGTTGGGCTGTCTCTGGGAATATCTCCCCTTGCCTGCTCAGGCCAGGCACTTTGTGGGGAGTTCATCTTGGTTTCCCCAAATCACAGGCATAGGGAGCCTTTAGGATGTGCTTGTTCAATATAATCGATTAGTGATCTTTGAGGGGAAGGAGATGGAATGGGGTGCATCAGGGACACATGTTGGACATGGCTGTGAGTAGTTAGGTCTACAGGGAAGAGAGGTTTGAGTTTGGGACTTAATGTGGTAGAGGGGATGAGATTGGGTATGTTTTAGTCATCTTTGCTTTAGGGGAACGTTGAGTGCTGGCATATGATGAGAAATGATTTTTACGTTAGTACATGCTGTCCTTTTAAATAGTATAAACTCATGTTCATCCAGCCCAGTTAAAGAAGGGGATTGGAGGTCTGCCTGATTTCCTATTCTGGTTAATACTCTACCCATTGGATTTTGTATGTATGCCGGGTAAAACATTTACATATATTTTTGCCTTCAACTGCTGTTTGAAATGTGTGACCTGGGCCAATTAGTTAGCTTCT